TTACGAATCTGAAGTTAATTATCAAAAATTCAAAATGGCGGATCCAATATGGCGGACGAAAAAAAAAAAAAAATCGGTAGATTTCTATGAAACTGGGTATCTGGGGGTTTTCTGGGTCGCTTTATTACATATCTAGTCATTTACCAAAAATTCAAAATGGCGGATCCAATATGGCGGACGAAAATAAAAAAAAAATCGGTATATTTCTATGTAACTGGGTAACTGGGGGTTTTCTGGGTTGCTGATTACGAATCTAAAGTCATTTAATTAATTTACTTTATTTACTTCGGAACGAGCATTTTCATCAGATATTTCTTTCAATTTACTAATCACATAATCACGGACACCTTGTTGTTTTTAGAAGTTCCAGCAACACCAAATGTCAAACAACTCACTTCTTAAGATTTTATTTACCATGACTAAAATTTAAGATCACAGCAAGAAACACAAATAAATTTCCGGAAAATTTTTATAACAGCGCTTGAAGATTTGCATGCCTGTTGTATAATTTTTTAATTTCAGAAAGCAGAAAATTCGCGAGGTACTATTTTTTTTAACTCTTACATAACCAAAGGTTTTATAACTCCAAGTATTTTTCTGTTTTAATCAAAACGATGATTTTTCCGAATAAATTTGTTTATACCAATGTGGACATAAATTGCGTTATGACATCTGAATCTATAGCGGAATTAGTGTAATTTTTTGTTTATAAAGTCAATTTGCAATTATGCAAATATCTTTGAGTGCAATTAGCAATCTTTTAAGTTAAATTTCAGCTTTTAAAATAGAGTTCTCAAATAGGCGGCGTTGACTTACCTTTTTTTGTTTGTTTTCATATGTTAATGCTTTAATAAATGCAATTTCTATTTGAATGTATTGTCAGGAATGTATTCCAAGTACCATTAAGTATTTTAAAAACAAAAAAATTTTGACTTTCGTCCAGCTAGATCTGCTATCCGAACCACTGTGCACCGCCGCCACCTTGGCTTTGCGGGCGTCTAACTGTGACTCCTCATTTGCATTGATGCATTTGTGCAGTTCTTACTGTTATTACGGCAACAAAAACTACAAAAGGCTTGCATATACTATATATGTACATACATACATACATATATGTATGTACATGTAAACATGAGCTACAATTACATCAGACCAGTGCTGGCTTGCATGTAAATATTGAACTCAGGAAAACAAACAGAAAATCAGTGTTTTTCTATGTACATACTTAGTTGCATATTAATGCACTCAAACATATGTA